TTTTTTTTTTTTTTTTTTTGCACAGGGGATCGAACTTGGGTCCTTGCGCTTTCAAGGCAGGCCACTGAACCACTGAGAGAAATCCCCAGCCTTGTCATTTATTTATAATTCTTTTGGTAATATTTTGTATTTACTAACAGCAGTGTTTCCCTTTTCATAGTCCTTTTATTTTCAGCTTTAATTGAGTTTATTGGTACATTTTAGGGATACAGTACAGTTACATTCTTCATAGTCCTTTCGTATATTTTATTTTATTCTTTTGACAAATACTAAATGAGCATCAAAGTTTTGACAATATCCAGAGCTTTAGGGCAAAGAGAGAGTAACAAAAGCCAGTTCTTGAGTTCTTGAAAAGTTAAGAACTCTATAAACTTAAAAATCTTTTCCTGAAGAGCTAAAGAAGACTGTTGATGACTGTCTGACACTAGAGTAATACCATCTTTCTTCTATTCATAATTTACTTAACTTTTTCTCTCTCCCACACAATTTCACCACCCTGTGTAGTGGCTTTTTCATGCCATCCTATCATTGACATTCCTAGCTACTTCCAATTAACAAATTAAAGTTTTTTTATGAAGGAGAAAGGTATTTGATTGTACAAAAGTAGCTTCTATGGGGGGGTCACAAGAGTATAGTGATACCTGTGGTTAATTCATGGAAATTTGACACATGACCTGGATAGAGTCATTATTTATTTGTCAATCATGGCTCCTCAATAAAGAAATAAAGAGGAGGACATGTTTCATTGATGCAAATTAATAAGTATAAAAGGTATTTCATTGGCAGGCATTTCTAGTATAAAAATATTTTCTGTAATATGCTTGACCTACGTACCTATGGTTCTAAGAGTAAAAGAAACCTCTTTCATTTAGGGACCTGAGCACACACATGTGTGTGCAAGTCAATGTCTGTTCCTGATGTGATTTTAACATCTGACTATAGTAAAGCAGTCCTTTTTCTTTTGCTTTTAACTAAAAACAAAGGTGAAATATGCTAATTCATCTGGGTACCAATCTGGCATCGACAGCTCATTTTACACAGATCTAACAAGGAGACACTATCGGTGATCATGTTTTTTCCAGGAGGGGAAGTCGACAGACAGCTCTGCAGAGACGCCATCCTGCCCATTCCTGTGGCCTGCGATGCCCCATGCCCAAAGGACTGCGTTCTCAGTGCATGGTCCACCTGGTCCTCCTGCTCACATACCTGCTCGGGGAAAACGACAGAAGGGAAGCAGATACGAGCAAGGTCCATTCTGGCCTACGCAGGTGAAGGAGGTAAGGCAGCAAGCTTGAGCAAGGACTTAGGTTCCTTGAGAAAGTTCAATACGTTTCCTGTGTGTAGTTTGGCTGAGATGATAATCTGTAAAAATTAACTAACAGAAACCCAGGAATTTAAGGATGTTTAATAGATGTTGATATAGTAAGCAGTTTGATTCTGTTCCTCAAATTTAATCTTGCAGAGGGATCATTAATCATCAAAGAAAGACTTTCTTTGTTGTTGTTGTCGTTGTTACTAGGGATTGAACTCAGGAACTTGAACTTAAAAATGAACTCACTCATTTTACTTTTGTCCATTCAGCTTCTTGTAATTCAGCTTCTTTCTACTCCAAAGTGTTAAACCTGTGAAAAAGTCTGAAAATGGTTCCCTAAATTCCACATTTCATTTTTGTCTATTTCAGTAGTAGTAAATTTTATCCTTTGAAACCTCATTCTGCCATCTCTGAAAGTCATCATATATGTCTCCTAAGCAAGTGTATTTTAAATTATTACCAGCATGACTATTGCTTGACTGAAAATTACATGTATTTTCTCCCGTTCGAGTTTCTGAACAGAGTCTCTGATATACAGATGTTGCATATGTAGACTGCTTTCACTTTTAACGCATGTTGCTTAAATCAGTTCACCCAACTGGGTGAAAAATGCATGTTTATCACATATTCATACCTCACTTGCAAGTTTTATTGCAAAGAAATCCAAACCTCTTGGTAACCGTCTCTTTGGCTGATATCCAAATGAGGATTTGGCCTGTCAGTGACTTGGTGATAAAATGCCACACTTACTTGTGTCTTTCTGGAAAGTAACACAGGAGTGAGGAAAACAGATATGTAAGTCAGTTTTTTCACATTAAGCCAAGTTCTTTCCCAAGAGTCTAGGTATACCATTTAAATATTGTCGAGGCGACTCACCTTTGTCTTCAAACATATTTAGACATGATAAATAGCGATTTCCCTATGTAGTAAATGTGCATTTCTACATATTCCTGCAAACAATTTGGAGGGAATTGTGGTCAGTAACTTTTCTATTTTTCTATTCATGAAGGGTTTTAGGGACACCTCCCTACCTGATAGTATTCTTTTTAAATTAAACTTTCTGTTTGTAATAACTATGGAAACGTATTGCTACCTTGGGCTTAATATATAAATATTTGCAATAACATGAGGGAAAAATTTTTAGATATAAAAAATCAGACAGCCAGGGATTTAGCTCAGCTGTTCGGTGGCCTGCTTTGCAAGCTCAAGGACCCGAGTTCAATCCCTGGTACCAAAAAAAAAAAAAAAATCAGCATATGGGAAAAGTCAGAATTTTCTTTTTAGTTCTGAAAATGTTTTCCTATTACCTTAATATAAACTTAGCTGTTTGCTACCAAAAAAAGTGTTATCTGTTGAAAAGTAGAAACTTTCAGAGAGAAAATTATGTTTATTGTGCTGTCAAACAATACATCTAACCTCATATAGATTATATTCAGACTTCAAACTCTATCAGCTCAGATTATGTCCTGGGCTTCATTAAAATTAGATCTGTGGTCACCCTGCTTCCCATAAATCTATTACACTCTGCAGATCCTTGCTGTGCGACTAATAATGAGTGACTTTTTACCCCAAGTCACATGGCAAGGATTTTGCTATCCTTGCAAAATACTCACCTGTTCTTTATTTCTACAGACAAGATGCTTCACAATGAAAGGTCATGAAATCTTTGAAAGGCAGAAATTTATCATTGCTTTTTGTTATGTATCATTCACTTAATTTGAAAGGGTGTGACTTTGATAATTTTTAATTAAGTCTAGAAGCATTATAGGCAACTTGTGCTGGAAATTATAGATGTTTAAATAATAAATCATAAGGGTGTGAAACCTAAACCTACCTTTAAATAGAAAAGACATTGGAAACTTTGAGGGGGAATGTATGTTACTAACACAAATGAAAACTGACATAATCATTTGAAATATTTAATGAGATGTTGTCTTTCAAAATATCTTTATTTAATGCCTATCACTTGTTGAACAAAGAAATATATCTCTCTTGCTTAAAATAAGCCTTTGATAATTCTGATCTATTTTTAAAAAATGATTAGAGAGTATATCTGCAAGAAATTTAAAAATGTTTCTTTGATCATTAGAGGATATTTCATAATTCTTTGCACAAGTAGGTGCTATTATTTTATAAAAGTTAATGTTCTATAGGTGTCATAATTGTTTATTTTCTATGGATCAGAAAATTACTTGATAATTTTAAAGAAAAACACCACAGGGCCAGGGATTTAGCTCAGCAGTTCTGTGGCCTGCCTTGCAAGCGCAAGGACCCGAGTTCAATCCCCGGTACCAAAAAAATAAAGAAAGAAAGAAAGAAAAACACCACAGTGCCATAGTATGAAAGTGATAGATGGAGTATTTAGACATGAAATTATAAAATTTTCTGGTGAAATAACTTATAGGATAAGTCCATAGGGCAAAGTATATCTAGAGTTATAATGCAAATGCTGCAAACTATGCCTTATCATTTCAGTCAGAAAAATATCATTAAAGCTCTACAGTAAAGATTAAGTAATTTTATGTAATTAGTTCTAGAAGATTAGGTCATGCCATGGTGACAGCCCAGAAGTTCACAAGTTTAAGAGAATAAAAGTGGTTTTCTTTCTTCTTCATGGGATTTTAGCTGCAGGTCTGCCTGATTCAGTGTAGCCTGTCCCCTAGGAAATGTCACGGCATTTTACCCCCCTCTAAACCGACTTCCACAGTTCCCATGCCAAAGGAAGAAGACACTTACAGAATCTATAGATTTACAAGCAGCAGCTATGAAATTCTTCATCTAGAAGTGATTTTTGTTATTTCTCACACATCATGCTAAAGCAAGTGATGGCCATGCATACCTTCAAGGGAGATGCAGAGAATGTAATCCTGCTTAGGCAACACAAAGAGGAATGCTGGTTACTGCGCTTATCCCAGTCTGTCCGGTCTTCTTATTACGTACTTGTGACATATGGGTCTACATCTGCATGCGTAGATATGTGGTATTGAATGTGTTTGTGCGCAGAAGAACGCCTCGACATAGGAAATAAGCACTAACATATTTAAGGTATTGGGTATCATTTCATCAGCTTCTTCTAAATGATCCGGGAAAAATTATTGGTACTATGCTCTTAATTTTACTATAATTCTGAGATTTGTTCAAAGCAAAAATTAATAATAATAATAATAATAATAATAGACTAAAACAGTTTCTTATATAATTGCTTTCCAAAAAATGTTGAATACATTATGTAATTTTATATCAGAAGTACAAAAAAATTATAAAATGATTCTTCCTGAAGTATCATTTAGAAACTAAATCACAAGTGGTAGCAAATAGAGATAGTTAATCTACTGAAGAAGATGAGAATAATTCTTTTTAAATTAAAATAAAAGCATTTTTTAAAAAAAGTATTGTGTGTGTGTGTGTGTGTGTGTGTGTGTGTGTGTGTGTCTTCCCACTTCTGGTTAAAAAAAAAATCAATAATCTACATTTTCAACATTGTTCTTTATATTATATAAACTGAACTGTAGGATTTGTCCCAAAAGCTGCTTTAAATTTGTGCTGGGAAATTCTAAAAGAAAATATTCTTTTATTAAATAAATGTGGCCTACATTTCCATATAGATAGCATTATGTTGAGTATGAACAAATGATTAAAACTGATGTTAGATTTTTGAGGCTGGCCAATATTCTGAACTCCTGTGCAGATCGTCAACACATTTTAAAAAGAAAATGTATTTTAAAAACATTTTTCACTGAGCCTAGTAACAAACTGTTATTTCTTGTTAGGTAGTTAATTATTCCTATAGAACAAAAATGGCAAACTATTTATTTTTGCAAAGTTCAGAATGACCTGATCTAACTTCATCAAATTCCAAAGTGCCTTTACACCTGCTTTATATATGCAGTTAACAGATGCAGATTGCAGTAGAATTATGCTGCATTTTCTCAAATAATTGGTAGTATTCAAAAATCATATCTTACAATGCAAAGCATGGAGGAAAATAATATTTTATTTAACTTGTTCAATTTATTCAGTTATTCCTTTGAAAATAAAATTGTGCTTAAATCTGTCACTAATGACCACCATACAAGATTTATTTGAGCTCCACAGTGGGAAGTCTCCCTCTTTTCACAAGGAGAAGAGAGAAGCAGGATTTTCTGTGCTGCAGCAGACTCTCCTGAGTATCAAACTGATACTTTGAGTCATTTCTCCCAAAGCACAGGCTTTTCAACATACTTTTCCCCTATCAGTGGTCTGCTGTCACAAGGGTTTGGGCTGCGTGTGCAGATGAATTTAGAAGCACCATATTTCTTCTTCATAGCATGGGCATGTTGCCAGTTACTTTCCCATGTGAACTCTACCCCGCAATGGACTGCACCAATATCGCTAACCGTCAAAGTCATGCCTGTCTGCATTAGTTTGCTTTCATTTACTTTTTCTTCTGCTTAGGTAAACTTCTCCTTCTTCCTTCTCTATTTTCTACTCTGCCTTTCAAAATTCTGCCTTTTAAAAACTCATCTCAGTGCCTCTTTCCACTTAAGATATTTTTGTCACCTAAAGGTAACAGAATCTTACTTCTCTGAATCCTAGCTACACTAAATACCTCTCTTAACTTATTACATTTCATGTAGAGTAGTACTCATTTTATGCTTATCTTATCATCCCTTACTACTCTCCTCTTTTCATATAGGATCTTAAAAGTAGCAGAAACTATATCCAAACCCTGCTTTCCCTTGAAGTATTCTGCATGAATTTTACACAAAATACATGTGTATACAATTGTTTTAAAGAGGATTCTTTATCACATGAATTATGAGAATATAAATCCTAGAATGAAAATCACCATAGCTTGGACTGAATGTAACCTAGGAAAGTTTTTATGAACTTATGGGGAGGAAAAAAGTCATTTTTTTTATTTCTGAAAGGTAAGTTTCACATCATAGTATTTTTATAGGAACATTAAGGTTTATTTATATAGCAATATTTCATCTAGTCCTATAAATTCCTACCTTGTGATGAAATGTTAGAAAATATAAATAGTGGTAATATCATGAAGCATATATTTTTATATGTAAGATTGTTACATATACACTTATAAATGTAATTATTAATTTTGCATAGGTCACAGTTTATAATTTCTCCAGTACTCTTTTTTTCCTTCTCTTCAATACTCTTAAAACATTCTCAAATGTATTGAATTAGTTCCTCCCATAAATAATAGATAATATTCAATACTATATTTATCAATTTTTCTACTAAGCATTATTCCCCAAACAACATTATGATGCTTCAGTGACTGATTACTCCAAACCAGACTTCCAAAATTGCCATATTGTTGTTCTAATTAAGACCACATTGGAGTTTATCTGTGCAAGGATCCCGACATCAGATACAAACTGCTGATGTAGCTTTAATGTGGATTGGAGCAAGAAAATAAATAGCCTTCATGTCTATAAATTTAACAGCTATCTTGTAGTTCCTAGACACATTATGCTGATGTTGTAAAAGGTTATTTTTGTATCATTTTTGCCAAAGGCAGTCAGTCAATTCCAATGTCAAAAATAATTCGGAGCCTTAAAATAACAGTTTAAAAACCATGCTTATATTCACACTAAAAATGGTGTAAGTAAAGAAATATTTTGTAGGTGACTGGTTTTAGGATTAAATGTAAAGAAATTTATAAACAATTATAGATGTGTATGTATAAAACCTATAATTAGCATGCATTTGTCTGAGAGTTGAGATCAAATAAATCCAGTGCCTCAGGGAATATGTAATAAGAATGCTCATTTTCTTCTCCCCAATTCAATTAGTATATTTTAAAATTCTATTCTATTCAACTCCTAAACTTCTTTTCAGGAGCTACCAGGGTCACCGAACTGAGTGACGGAAGATAGGATATGAAGCGTGACAGATATTTTCACCTTCATGAAGGAGGGAACCTTAAAGAAGTGCTGTTTAATGCAGGTTATTCTGATGTGGAGACCACAGTCCACATTACATAAAGGATTCTAAATTGCTATTAAATTCCCGCATAAGCTACCTTAATTGTCCTTAAGGGAAATAATATCAGAAGATCAGCTCAGGGGGTGGCCCTGGAATCATATTATCAGTAATGTAAGCAACAAATTCTTCCCAATTCTACCTTTAGCTATATATATATTTTTTTAACTTTCATAATTGGCATCAGAAATACCATAGTGGTAAAAAATTGAACTTTCTAAATTCTTCATTGTTACAATGGCCATCACACCATTTAGATGATTTGGGCTTAGTCAGTTAATGTTTTAAATATGACTGCTGTAAACACAAAATAAGGCCCCACTTATGAAGCATGGGTAGCAGGAATAGCACAGAAAAATGGTTTCATACCATGTTTTTTTGATTGAAGGATGTATATGTCTTACCCTTATATTCTGGATTTATTGCAACTTGCACTTAGGCATGTTGAAACTGGTGTGGCCATGGAACACTTGTGACATTTGTCATGGCTTATATTTGTGGACACTGTTATTCTGGTGGAATTGGAAGGTCCCATATTGCTTCTGCCAAAAATCAGACAAGCAAACACAGCCATGAGGGAGATTTATCTGAGGGAGATAAATCTTAAATGTTTGCTTAAGACTTCCATCACCAGGTGGAGCCAAACCGAGAGAACAGAGTCAGTATCCTGGGAGAAAATTTTGGAGACAAGTCAGACCTCTATAAGAAATCTGGTATAGGCAACACCTTTGATATCACAGATAATGATTCTGTATAGGAGAACAGACTCCCATGAGAGTGAATGCAAAAAGGACTCAAAAGGGTTGACTCTGTGAGTTATTTGAATACTTCTTCATTTAATACATGGAAGATGGTGATGTAAAGTATGCAATTGTTACGCAAAATTATTTTCATGGCATACATAAAAATTAGAGTTGAGCAGAAGTCATTGCATCATAGCTTAATTTGTATCCATTTGTTTTTATTTGGGACACATACAATGATTGTGCATTTCACAACCTCTGCAGTCTGATTTAGGGAATATTATCATGACAGGATGGCTTTTTTATTAATACTCTGGAAGATCATAAAATGTCATTCAATTCTAACATCCCTGTTCCTAGTCACCCTTGAACCTAACACATTAAAATAAACAGGCTTCACAAACATGTAATTAAGACTCTTAATTTGGGGAATAACACTTGAAAACTCACTCAGGTATCTTCATGTACAAAGGCTCAACATTACTGCTTTTTCTGGCTGGCAATCATATGGACTTTACCTCAAGTTCAACTTCTCTGGAGAATAATAGCCTATCTCTTTAAGTTCCTCCATAGTCCTCAGAATCAAGTATCATGGGCACCACATGTTTCATATTTTAAAATATTTGCTAAATTGCAGTGAGATTGATTGGCAATGTTTTCCTAGTAGTGCGCTAGTAATATGCTTTGTATTAAAAGGTGGCAGGCATCTCAGTTGTTAGCCATATTATTTCCCAGGAACAGAGAATGGTAAGGTTCCTGTTGCTACTATGTCTAATATTCTACCATTGTCCTTTTTATAGGTGGAACTCACTGTCCAAACAGCAGTGCTTTGCAAGAGACACGCAGCTGCAATGAACATCCTTGTACTGTGTACCACTGGCAAACTGGTCCCTGGGGCCAGTGCATCGAAGACACCTCAGTGTCGTCCTTCAACACAACTACAGCTTGGAATGGGGAGGCCTCGTGCTCTGTCGGCATGCAGACTAGAAAAGTAATCTGTGTGCGAGTGAATGTGGGCCAAGTGGGACCCAAAAAGTAAGAACTTTACAATGACAACAGTAAATCCTGTGCTCAGCCATGCAGAGGATTGGCTCAGGCTTCACATGCTTTATGAAACAGAGCATTTTGATGCTTGTCATACCTGTCCTCAAGAGTAAGATTTGTTTGTTTTGAATGTCAGCTGCTGATAAAGCTGTAACAGCTTCATAGTCTTTTACCTGGTGTCCATAAATTCTACAGAAATCTTCTATGTGGTGCCTACTTTCTGTTTTATAGTAGCACTTCCTGCTTTTATTAAGCTCATGAAGCGATGGAAGAAGTACTTGCTCTGGGCCTGGCTGATCAATAATGACAATATACAGAGTCCTGGCAATGTAGGTCATCCATGACCTCCTATATACCTGTAGGCTATGGAGGCTGCCAATCCACTTTAATTGGGTAGTAGCCTTGTATGATCTGCCTTTCATTTCCCCTAGAATATACTTTATCAAAAACACTGAGGCCAAACTTATTATATCTTTCAGTGGTTAAATGAGTAAGCCTTTTACTTCCAAGAGACAGCCTTGGGATAAGATGACTGTCATGATAAGTAGAAAAACTTAACAGTTTCTCATAGTGGTTTCAAATACTGTAATATCAAGGCATATGATTTACTGGAGAGGAGAACAAACAATCAGAGAGTTGGTATATTATATGTACTTTGTGATGAATATAAACAAAGACAAATAATGGCACAACTGGAATAATCTATTCTGAGATAAAATTAGTAAATGAAATCTGAAAGCTATCTTTTTGAGGGTGAAACTTATTTTGCTTTGCTTTTGAAATTTAAGATGCATAAATTCTGAAACAGTCAAATCATTTTAGTCATGTGGATCATAAGAATTAAAACAAATCAACTTTACATAGGTATAAATGTCTGCTCATATTTTCCCAATAACCAATCAAGTGGTCAGTTATTGTATGTGTTCTTTAACACACTGCATAATTAATTCTGGCCTCAATTTTCTAAGTCTCTTAAAAACATTTAATGAGAAAAATTACCAATGTACCCACTCAATTAATGTTAGAGATCATTATTTTCTTATGAGAATTTAAGATACTTCCTAGTCTTCCTAGGATATGGAAATATTTAATCTGATTAAGTGAAAAGTCCAGGGGAGATAAATAAGAATCCCACTCACTGTGAGTTGATTTTATCTGGTCAGAACTCTGGACATTAAACTTAGCCCCATACTTTGTTTGTATCATTTGAAACTTGAAAACATATTAGAAAATAAATACCAAATTATTTTAACAATTTGAGAACCCATTCCCCATGTTCAATGGGTAGCCACAAGCCAACACTTTAATAGAAATTATGCTAAGGTTGTGATGAATCTGACTCAGGAAATTATTGGGTAGCACATTGAAATTCAATGGGGGTCACAACATGAGTGGAAGTTGCAAGTTAATATTCACTTCACAGTTGCAGGACCAACTATGTGTGGTGTAGGATGAAGACTCATACTATTCTACAAGGGCACTCATTCTGTACCTGTTCTACAGTTAACTACCTTTCAAAAGTTGCCACTGAGTATTTTTACTGGTTGGTGGAGGTAACATTAGTACGAGTCTGTGTGTGAAAGACACTGTTGGGTTAACATCATGAAATCATTCACTCGAAGTGTGTCCTGAATCCCATGTCAGAACACCACAATAATTTATTTAAAACTCACTCTGCTTTTATGGTCTATATTCAAGGACCTGGAAACATCTATAGATTAGTGAAATCAAGCGAATTTACTTTGCCCTAAAATTTTAGAAAATTAAGCAAGTATTGCGAGTTCAGAAGGAAATGTCATTGCCCTTTTCTCTAAATGCTAGGTTAAATTCAATGAGTGCTTTCCAAAACTGGTCATTTGAAATAAAAACACAAATAGAAACCTTGTATTAAACTCCTCTTAATAAAATAGATTACCACGCAATGGTAAAATCATTGTTATTGATCTTATCTATCCTCCCAAGTAACAAACTTCAACTCCTATCACATCGCTTAATTTGACCTTGAATAAGATTTGCAGGGAAAATCAATTCCTTGATTTAAACCACAAACACTAAATACAAACAGTATAAGGAAAAAAGGAGCATGTTGACTGAACCAATTGCCTCATCAAAGGAAGTCTGAATTTATTTTATTGAATGTAGTCTAGGCTGCATAATTTATCTTTGTGTGTTCATTTAATGACTTTGTTGTTAGTAATTTTATTCTCCACAGTTAGCCAAGTATCTTGCTGTGGCTGTTTCTAAACTAACACAGAATATTTGAAGGTTGTTAATGATAACACTGTCAATTCTATTGATTTATTCAGGGTTAATATTTGAAGAGTACACAACTGAGTAATGCCCTCCCATCATTACTGTTACAAAAGTGCCTTCTTGAAAAGGAGTACTTTCAATAATAATTATTGACCAATAACTCCATAGTCCCCAAAGAACTGGATTATACCTGAGATTTTACTTCAGAATGATCTCTGGTTTAAAAAAATTAACATAAATTATAATTCTAGTGATTTACAATCTAAATTGTAGCAATTTATTGGGTTTTTTATTCACATGCTAATTTCTTTGTTGCTCACCGCTTTAAATAGTCCCAGAAATTGGGAAAATCCAAGCATATCTTCAACATAAACCAAGGAGATTATTTGATATTAAACGTTGAATCCTATATATTTTAAAATTCACCACCAAATCAACCTGAGTGTTTCAAAAAGAGGCGAGCATGTAGTTATACAATTAAATGAAGCTTCATATTTATGTATGAGAAAGAGCATGTAGATAAATAAATATAAGATATACTAAAATGCTGTAAAGATATTATGATAAATAGATAAATAGTATTGATCTCTTTCACTCATAGATCAGTTCTGTAAACCTAATTAACTTACTTGATAAAAGATTATTTATTTTGGCCTACCAAAAAAGGGTGGCTTCTCCCATGAGGCATAAAGTATTTTTAAAACTTGTTACTGGTTTGCCAATTTATTATTGATTGACTATTTTTATTTTATTTATAGTTACCCCTTTTTGCTACAAAAAGGATACTATAGGTTATTAAAATATTTTAATTAAAACTAGGGAAAAATGGAAGAACACTCTTCTAAATAAAACCAGGAAAAAAACAAAATTACTTATTGTAATGATTTACATATTTTGCTATGTTATGATTTATTGTGAAGTACACAACTGCTGATACATTACTGTGTTTTGAACACATACTATGTAAGGAATGTACTTCATTATAAATTTATTTTATGATAAAGATATTTGTAAAAGAGAGTGTAAAATAACCCATAGATTCACAATAAGCAAAAGGCCTGTTTAGTTATACAAAGATCTAGAATTGGGTCCTTAAATTGGTAATTTGAATGCCACAAAATTTCTTATAAATCATAGTGAAATATATGATAGTACAGATTATTAAAAGATGAGAAAGTATAGCTGTTATATTTTGTTCTAGATAGCACAATTACTATTATTAAATCTCCACATTCTAGCATAAGAATTGTATTGAGATACAGTTTGAAAGAACAGATTTGTAAAAATACTAATTGAACAAAGGAGAAAGGCTCTTGGAAGGTAAATAATGCAGTTTGGTGACTATTTTACAATTTTAGCGATGGAAATTCTAAAGTTACCTGGCTTTCTGGCTTTACTATAGAGGGCAAATTGTTTCCTTTTGCTTTTTCTAGATGTCCTGAAAGCCTTCGGCCTGAAACTGTGAGGCCTTGTCTGCTTCCTTGTAGGAAGGACTGCGTTGTGACCCCCTATAGTGACTGGACACCGTGCCCCTCTTCATGTAAAGAAGGTATGATTTGTAGCATTCTGGAATCTCTTCACCCAGGATTTTCACACATTAGGACTTCCAGATTCTTCTGCTTGAGCAATACTTGTGAATCCAAACAGAACTATGTAATCCTGGATTAGCAAGAATGCCATAAGATTTTAGTTTCCCTGAAGAAATAATACTGTGTTAGAGTAAAAGACAAATAAGTCTTATGCCAAAAACAGACTTGAAATTGTATTATACAATCAAAGTGAAAAGATCCTAGAACTTACTATGTGAATAATTTTACATTAATTTTTTTAAATATGTTATTGGTCCTCCATGTCATAATTCAATACACAGGGATGTTACCAGTACACATGGCTTGCAACCTACTTACTGGCAGAAACAGCATGGGACCGGATTTGTTACAGATTTAATGATGCAGCCCCAAAGAGCAGAATAGAGGAAAGAGAAGAATGGCCAGATCGCATCTCTGCCAACACAATGTGCCATGAGACATCTACAAGAGGAGCACTTGTTCCCATTTTGGTTTAGTTTTGTTTTTATGACTTACCATGGCAGAAGCCTGGATAATTCTTTCCTCACCCTCCAGGAGAGGGTCTTTCCTCATTGCTTAGGAGAAAGATATCAACATCTTTCAGGTAGCTTATACAAGTGAGCGGCTTTTCTCTCAGCACCACAAATGACAGTCTATTTCTTATTTTACTCCCCCCCAAAATAGATATAGTTTCTTTGATTCCCTTTATACTTTTATTTATGCTTCTTGACTCTCACTGTAGAGATTGAATTAAGAACCAACGTATAGTTTAAAAAACTATTTATCTTGCAAATATTTAAATAATTTAGATGGTATAAACTAAAGGGTTGTTTTTATAGTATAATTAACATTTTGTATAGTTTAAATATAAGTTTCTTTTTTAGGCTTTTTTCTATTGGATGCCCTTGAAGACTCAAATAAAAATAAATTACGAGCTATATAAGAATAGTCAAATTTTGTTTTAAAAGCCTTCTAAGGACCTCCATAACAGCTAAGAAAATAAGGAATTACAACCATTAGCTTTAAAAAATGTTAATGTATAAAATTACTAATAGACGTCATTGTCTAGCATTTTTTTTCTCAAATTTTTTTCCTTTATTTTCTTGAAGTGCTAAATAACATATGATAGTACTCAGTTAACTTGCAATCTGCAATAGCGTTATATCTTTGGTTATTATTTCTGCAGTCATTGTTGGCTACTCATCATTTCATTAAAAATGTCATTCATGACATGGAATAAATATACTTGCAAATTTATTCTTTAAATTTTATGCCTGATATTTCAAAGAAATCTAGTAAGATGAGAATTAAAGTAGATGAACCAGAAAGTTAGGAGGATTAAACAGAAAGTAAGATGTTTGGATATATGAGATAAAAATATATAGTTACTGAAATAAAAACAGAAGGGATGAACAGAGGACTGATTTAAAAGAAGAAAGAAAATAAAATTGTTGTGTGGGAGAAGGTATAATTCAGGGTCCAGTGCCTTGACTAGAGTAATCATATAGTAATCAACGACAACCACAATAGTATCAAGGATGAGGAAAAAGTACTACCGGGACATATGTTCTAAGGTCACTAACTAATGAGATATCTCAAGGGGACTGCTACAAGGTAGATAGCTGATGGTAAAGTTAATTTCAGGAATTTAAAGGAGCTACATATTCTTAAAGGTAAAAGGAGGAAAAAATGAATGGGAAATACTAGATGGAGCCAGCTTCCGCTGGCAAAAGAAATAAAAGAAACTTTCCAGTAAGAGATTGAAGAGGATAGATCATGTGCTCCCAATGAGCACAATAAAGTTAGAGGATGGAGAGGAACAAGTAATTGCATTAGGTTTTCCAGGTGTTATGTGACTGGGTTTTGGCAAAAGAATTGCAGACTGGGGAAAGTTCATTTATTGTTTAGTTGGTCTTGTCTCTTGGGAGAAAGTGGGTACTGCTATAAGAAAACATTACACGCTGCCACTATAAGACTATTCTTTCCTGGGGTGGTGGTGGCCAAGGAGTGCAAGACTATGAGATCAGGAATACACTCTTGTAGAATCAGGAGGCACTCCGAGAGGCAGGGGTCTGTTTGGCTGAGCAAAGGTCATTTTGCCAGGAAAAGGTGATCAGATCTTTCTGCTTTGTTTGGCAACTATATGTTGAGTCTCCTAGGACAAAAAAAAAAAAAATGCTTTCAGAAACCAATAGTAATCACTTCCCCATCAATGGCACAAACTACTCAATACCCACGACTTAACAGAAGAGGGATTTATTTTGTTCACAGTTTCATTGGGTTCAGTCCATAGCTGGCAGAAACTTCATTGTGGAAGGGCCTGGTGGAGAAAAACTGTTTGTGTGATTGTGTACAGGAAACAGAGAAAGAAAGGAGAAACCATGAACATGAATACACCTTTCCAGGTCAGTCTCCCCGTTGCCCACCTCCACACAGGCCCCACCTCCACACAGCCCTTCAGCTTTGAACTCATTGGTGAGTGTAATGCCCCCATCACTTCCCGTGAAAGCTCCACCTAGGAACGCATGAGATTTTGGGGAGACATTTTAGATATAAAAGACAACAAAGCCTAAATGGAGTCACTCAGGTTTAAAATGAATAACTGATATTGTGTATTTGAGGAAATAAAACAATTGGGGCAGGAGTGATACAAGAGGCCATTGTTGGATAACAGCAGATGCTTTGTGCCTGAAAAAGCATTGTACGTTTTGTTGGTGGAAGGCTGTAACTGACCAGGAGGAAACAAAGTGTCATAGAAATCTAGTCTTTTGTTATTGTGAAGAAAATAAAGCAATGGCAGGAGGTTACTTTTCCCACTATATGGGAAGAAATAGGAGTAATCTAAGTGTCACTGAAATCACACTGACTTTCATACACAATTAAAAGTGCTAAGGAAAGTTCATTGTTCAAGGAGAGATAGTAGCAATTGAAAATTAATTTAGGGATGAGGAGGTGTACATTTTATAAGAGCTTTGAGTTTATTAAAATATGGAGCAGAGCCGGGGATTTAGCTCAGTAGTTCTGTCGCCTGACTCATAAGCACAAGGACCCGAGTTCAATCCCTGATACCAAAAAATAAAAATAAAATAAATATTGAACTATCCTCCCCTGTAAAATCACTTTAAAGAGATAAAATTACACTTAGTACTGCAGAAAATGAAATAGAATACCTTACAATGCCATAAAGTAATTTGAAATTTTATTCAGCCATCTTCCAAGATACACCTTGAAAAAATCAATGCTGATACAGATTAGTATTGAGTAGAATGTCATTTGATCCTCCACCGAGTATACCTGTTAATGTTTCAAAAAATATTCATAAATTTTAAGAAGACACAAAAACAGAAGTTATCTGTACACAGCAATTATTTATGACTCTAATCTTGAAAAAAAATCAATGATTTTGATCAAATAGATATTTGTTTGCTCAAATTCTGCTTGTGCCTTTCTAAATTTGTTCTTCATTTATTGCCTTAAAAGACAGAATATTGTACAGGCAATGCTCCACCTTCATGTGATTAATCAATCATACACCTGAATTACCCTTAATGATCCAAAAGCTACCTTTCCATTTGTCTTGTTCCGTGAAATATTTTCCCTTTCAATATCCTATCACTGTGCTGCTCCACCCTGACATTTACCCCGCTTCCAGTTTAAGAAATCAGTTTTAGCTGCCCTGCCCTTTAATGCCTTCCCTCAGGTCATTTCTCCAGTGAAATTTACCTTGACTATCTTAAAATACCTGAAAAATGCTAGAAATGTGTTACAGATGACACGTCCTCTGACTCTTTGTGCCCTATATCACACAATTTTTCTCTGGATATGTAATCCCTCTTTTCAATTCCTGTTCTTAACTGGTATTTTCCAAGTATAAACACGACAATGGGTGCTTTTATTTTTCACAAGTCCATTATTCTCAATGGGAAACAAAGATGGTTTTTATAATCCTCAGTGCGCAGATGCACTACCCAGATGTTTATTACTTTAAAGAAATGCATAGGAAGAAAAGGAGTTGCTAATAAATCAGCTGAGATGTGAAGCAAATGCATCTGTTAACTCAGGAAATACTTATTACATCTATGTATGACCGCTATGCTATACATTAAAACACAAAGTTGAATAGTAACTCTGTACGTTAACCACATACAATAAGTTGGGTGTAAATACATACAAACATTATGAGAGGATGCAGCTTCCATTTTTCTTTTAAATGTGTGCTGCCCATCTCCCTTTGTCTTACCTCTGATCTGAAAGCTCTCTAACCTAACTGAATTCTACAGTAACATTACTCTGAATCCACAAGCAATTTAACTATGAACTAAGAGGAAACAGAATTCCCAGAGAGTGGGGATATGGATGTCATGACACTTCCCGTGTAACAACAACATTAAACTTCCTCTCTGGCTGCTGCAGCTTTGAAGGATTCCGCTTTAATCAGGTCACAGTCTCTGACCTGTGAGCTCCACAGAGTTAAGGAACTTGAACTTTTTGTAAAATTATGTGGATTGCCATTGTGGAATCAACAAAGAAAGTACAAAGAGTAATCATAGTTTTACAATGTGTGCATTTGGTGATGAAAAAGCACTAAAGGAGTGTTTCAGAGTTGTACTTCAGTGACATTGTTTTGCTTTCAAAAATATAAAACAAAATAGAATTGAAACTCTAAAATTTAGTAGCTTCTTCCCAAACGGACAATCCTGGCTAAGCAGCAAGTGGCATCTATGTAAGTACAAATGAGTAGACACCTCAGTCTCTAAGGTACTACTGATGCTCAGCACGTTGTTCCCTCCAGACCCTGATCCCTGGGTATGGATTCTGTGTCTGATTTGTATCTGAAAGTTGAGGAGGCCTGGAAACGGATTGCATGTAAGAATTTTGACCAGTTGGGAAAAAAGGCCCATGTGTTTGTGTTCTCCTGTTGGAAAATAAACAAAGATCTTCTCCCTTCTTCCATGTTAAGTAAATGGCGAGAATGGCCATCGAGTTAATACAGTCTTTAAGAAAAGGATGGGTTGTAAAATTAGACAAAAGAATAGAAATTGTACAAGGGCGGAGGAGGTAGTGACTGAGGGAATGATGAAAAGGACAGAAAAAGAAAGCTTATAACAAAAGATCAAAGTTAAGTTACTGAATTTGAGAAGAAAATTAGCTCTGAGATTCTGATGACCAAAGCAAAAAATAGGACCATAATGGATTCTTAAGAGATTATCAAGGGAAACAAAATTTCTCCTACCCCGGAATCATTGCAGAAATCTATCACCTGGACCTCAAAGCAGTAGAGTCATCTGGATAATATAACAGATGGAGTCTGAATTAGCAATTTATTAAAATTCTGATCAATTTCTTAGATCTTCCCTGAATAAATCATATTAAATATGTGAAAGTTGGAGCTTGCATCAAACTAATATGGTTACAACATAAAGTCCATGACTCCATTTCAAGTAATTTAATTCTCTGTTGCCGTTACTTTCAGCCCCCAATTCCCTACTCCATTACCTATAGTGTTCTAGTTATTCATTAAAATACTTTATCTCATCATTAACAGTTTAGGTTTTCCTCCCCCTACAGTGGGAATAAACCTTAAAAAATTACATGTGAGCCCAGAATCTTAAATTTGCTCTTTACCACAATTACCTGGCAGGCCTTTAAAAAGGGAGATAATCCAATTAAGCTCTCAAAGTTTCTGATTTATAATTCTGAGTGTAGGCCTAGAAATCTGTTGTTGTTTTTGTTCTCTTTTGTAGATAGACATTCAGGAGTCACTAATCTGATCCACTTCCTGCTCCATATAGGAATTCTCTCTAAACATGCTACAAATCAGTCACCCAGACCATGTGGAGCGATATCTTGACATCATGAGAAACGATGTTCCATTATACAGAAGTTTTAATTGTCATGTATATATTTTTTTTTCTTTTTTGTTTTTTGTACCTGGGATTGAACTCAGGACTTAGTGCTTGCGACAGAGGTTGCAGCACCACTGAGCTAAATCCTGGGCCCTGTCAATTATATTCTCCCACATCCACAGTAACTTAAAAAGTATTTTTCATTTCATTTCCGATTAAGTTTAATTGTTATGGGCTGCTAACTCTGTTAATGTTCCTTGATTCTATGTACCAAACAATAAATGATCTTGCAAAAGAATATAAAAGACTAAGGAGTTACATTGTCTGCCAACATAATTCTTTAAAAAGTTTTTTTGTAAATGAAACCATGCTATGGGCCTATTTAGCCTTAAATGGCAAATTTATGCATCTCTTCCTTATCTAAAAAAATGTTGAACATCCTTATATCAATAATACTGTCAAGTTGATGTCTTTACTGAAAATAAATCTTAACTTTTTTCATCTTTAAACATAATTTGGAGCTCTTTTCTCACAGTAATCATTGCTATTTTCAACTGCTTCTCTAAAAATAAACCTTCCTCTAGGAAACCACTTTCATTTCACTACTTACGGCTCTTATGTTTAGAATGTGACCTGAATTGAAGGTGTTAGACTGTTTAACGTGAATAATAACTGACTGGAATAATTATATATATGCATTTCAAACTAAGTGAATAACAAAGAAATAAAACCTCACATTATAATGGTGAATATATCCTCCTAAGGAAGATTCATTATGTGTGTATGAGTCCCATGTAGTAAACAGGGCTGTGTGAAATGACATGAAAATAAACTTAGGTAGAGAAGTATAATTTAATTAGATCTGGCATATTTCTCAAGGGGAAAGAAACATACAAAAGAACAATTACTTTGTAACTGCATATTAAGAAAACGAGTTGGCTACAGAACTATTTTCTATATTTTTAACCTTTTAAAATATAAATTGAATGGGTTTTCAGCATAATTGGCCTTTGGGAGAATTTAGTGACCATCAGACTACATGAGCCCTCTCGTTCAGTGATATCAGAGCATGTGTCGCTGGAGTCAGTGTAATTTGTTCAATTCACTAGTATTTGCAGGCTCCTTGGTCAGTGCAAAGTACAGAGGTTAAAAAGCTGCCTCATTCCAGGGAACTCTGGAGTCAGGAAGCAGTCTCGACACCGGGTCATCATTCAGGTGCCAGCCAATGGAGGCCGAGACTGCACAGATCCTCTCTATGAAGAGAAGGCTTGCGAGTCCCCTCAAGTGTGCCAAAGCTACAGGTAACAGAGAAAAACCGATGCAAGCAAGCAAGGCCTTACAAAGACTTAGTCCATCTGCTGTCAGACCACTAGCAACGGAAGCCAACTATTGCTTCCTTAGGCTCAATGGAGTTGGAGATGTTTGCGACTGTTGCTGCCATCTCTCGCCTCTGCTTAGGAGAGCTTGAAAGCATCTCCAAGGACACAAATACTTGTAAAAAGTTCCCAGCTGCCTTATTAGCTCTGGTAATTTAGGGCAATGCCTTATGTTGTCATAAGCTATAAGATGCAGAAAAGTAGTTAATAATTATGAAACACATACGCGTTAAGGACCAATTTCCCTTTTCACTCAGGAGAATAGCTTAAGTATTTCTCATTTGGCTCTGAAAAGCACCAGTGTCTCATATACAAATGCTAGCCTTCTGGCCCAGGAAATGACACTGTTATCTATTCTTGTTTATTTGTGACTACCATAAAGAAAACTGTAGTTATTGAAACTGTGTATCATCTTGATAATTTCCTCTCTTCACCATTAAGACTATTTCTAATGGAAACTTTTTCAATATATACACTAATTGCAACCCTGACAACAAATCAAATAAACAGGGCATCAATTAATGGAACACATAATCCCAAAATAATAATTTAAGTAGAAATAGATAACAGATTTGTCATCTTAATAAAAGTCTTTCTAAGAGGACAAATGGTACAATAATATGTTGGAACCATAAACATTGCCATATTAGAGCAAACTTATTTTTGGAATTTGCTTTTGTAAACGTGTATTATAATTTGTTTCTGAGTTACTCTTACAGTGCCAATCAAAAGAGCACTACACAAGAGACCTATGACTGAAATACAGTTTCATAACTTGAAAGCAAACTTAAATGGAATGCAACACTTCCAGGCCTATCTGATGCATCTCTTGGCAGTCTGAATCATGAAGTCTGTGTCTCCTGTAGCTCTCTGTAGAATCTATCTCTATAGAACATGGCCATGAGGTACCCTTGACTTCAAAGCCCATACAAAGTACTTTTATACTTAATTCTGCTTTTTAGAATGCTCTAGCGAATATCTAAATTAAACAAATAGGACTAAGCATTGTTAGTCTCCTTTTGGCTGTGACAAGTCACGTCTTGATGCTGCTGTGTCTCTGTGATTTCCCTTTCACTTTTCTTTCCTTCGTGCTCCAGGTGGAAGACTCACAAGTGGCGAAGGTGCCAGTTAGTCCCTTGGAGTGTACAGCAGGACATCCCCGGGGCACAGGAAGGCTGTGGCCCCGGACGACAGGCAAGAGGTAAGAAGCCGCATTCCACAGACCCTTGTCTTTTCATTTCTCCAACTTCTCAACATTCACCACTCTTGATTCATTTTTCCCTTTGACAATATGCTTAGTAAATAGAGGAGAATGGATGGGAATCTACAATGACCCAAACGCCAGAGCAAAACGCCTCAAGACAGGATCCTCTTAAATTTTGTTGTTTACCCTTAGCCCATTACTAGTGAATGTATTCTATGTCTCAAAGGAAAAAAACAGACCAAGATTTTAGTTATAGCGTGACTTGTACCCTGAAACTTCCTTTTGCTGTTGTTATTAGTTTTTAGGCCAAGGTATTTTTTAACACTTTACTCGGTACCTTAACAGTCAATGAAATCCATAAATACCTGCCCCTGTGCCTCCCATATGTGCATACGTACAACGAAGTATAATTGGATAAAACTTTCCCAGAGTTCTCAGCAATATCATTACTACTGCTGCCATGGCTGTCCATTGATCCTCACAGCATTTATTACTTATTTTTAACTGGTGGATTTATTTCCTTAAAAAAACTGCAAAATGCATTGTTTGTAGTACTATGTAATATGGACTTCTGCGGAATATGTCATTAAAATGTTTCACCCTTGCTACAATAATATTCTGAATTTCTGGGAGATAGTTTAGTCCCAAGTTTTGGAATGTATTGCTTGTGTAGTACATGTAGCAAATTCTGTCTTGAAGAATGCATGGTTTTATTTTACTCATGCTGAATTTTAGCATATAGTTTCTGATATATTCGTATGTAGCTTATTATGTAACTAAATATACATCTACCTTTCTTGAACTTTTGGGGACTTATTTTCATCCCTAATTTGTTGCATGGTGATACAAAAGTCCAAATAAACAGAACAGAATCCAGTTGCTACTGATTTGACCTGGAACATTTTAAAGAATAACTTTTGGAGAAAATTGATTTTTGGTTTTTTGGTCTTCTATTTTTATAATCCTTATTTTAGAAATCTACATTTGAAATATAAAATTTAGCTCATAAATAATATCAACTACTTAGTGATCTTTACTATGTTATTTCCTTTGTATAATTTTAATTGTGCATCTTCCAACATCAACTTTAGGTAAGAAATAATTTTATGTAGACAGCTTAGATGTACAAAATGGAAGTCATTCTCTCCACTTGAAAAACTGAGGGATGGGATACCTGATCTTTTCCTGTCAAGCTGCTACTTCTTCCTTGAAACAAGTGTACATTTGTGCACAATTTTGGTTCTACATAGAGTTTATAATGAAAGGGGCAGGAGTTTGAGAACCAGGAAAGAAGTTTTAGTTTCAGTTCTCATACCAACACAATGTAAGTTTTGTTCAGTCCTTCACTTTTTGGGGCCCCAGTTCATTTAGATTGAAAGGGGAGAAGAAGAAGGGTTTGGGCTAAATTGTCTTCCCAAATCATTCCAGTACTCACTCTATGGTCTATGTACAAATAATATCCAGAGATCAAAGGATAAATAAGGTATTTTTATAAAATATCACTAGATGTAATAAAAAATATGATAGAAGCAGCACAAATGTGAAAGAACTTCAGTTCCAAACTCTGTTCCAAACTGCACAACCTTGGTGATTTGTTTCCTGCCTTTGAGGCTAGAAACAAAAAAGGCTTACAGCACTGGGCACACATTGTCGTCATTAAATGGCAATTCCTTCCCCTTCCTATTAATTCATTATCCCAGTGAAAGTGTACTGTAGGTCATAGTAAGCAGAAGAAAAGAATATTAACATGAGTCCTTTGTTTTATTTGACACACTGTCTTTACAGAAACTGTTCTTCTGTGATTGTTGACCTTTTCACTTCCAAATCTGGAAACCTAAATTCACTCCTCCATGTTGATGACTGCTTCGTGGGATCTAATATTCTTATCCACTTCCTCTTAGAAAAGGTTCTTTGGCTTCCTCGGTGCTAATTTCTCTTGCCTTTTTGGGTTTTCCCTTTTTCCTGGTGGCTCTTTCTTCATCCTTAAACAATGTTTTCTAATCTTTGTATATTTGCCAGACTCCTTACACTATCTGAATCTCGTGCATTTTTCAGGCTGTCAGGAAGAGAAATGTGCTTTATAACAAGTGATTTCTGAGTATTCAGAAGACCCCTTCACTCCCATACATAGACAATTTTTTGTTGTTTCAGCAGATAGAGATTTCTTTTTCTTAGAATGTATACTTCTAGAGAACATAAAAGATATATATAGAGAGAGATTGCTAGTGGCAAATAGGCAAAAGTTTCTTGCTTTTATGCTCATGGCTGTTTTCAGAACTCTGCATGAATGACCTACTCAAATCCACCTGTTTTGATTTTTGTCTTTATATGGCCAGAGATCAAAAGAAACCATTGTGCTGTTTTTTAATGATTAAAATAATTGAGTAGTAAGCATTAAATAAGTCGGGAAAAGACTATAGATAGATACCTCTGTCTTAGCTAGTACATCAGACTTTCTAATTCCAGCTATTTATTCAAATGTGATTGTATAGAAACCTGTGTAGAAGCCCTAAGCATTATTAAAGGATGAAAATATTCCTATCAGGGAGCCTACACTTATTAGGGAAATGGGGTGATTATTAGCAACCCACCAAATGGAAGGTGATGACCAAAAGTGATCAAATGCAAAACCATCATTTGAAACTAAAGAATTTAAGAAAAACTTGAAAGATGGGCTAGAACTTAGTTTGTACCATTTTATTAGAATAAACAGAAAAACAATACAAAATTGGATCTATTCTGTAAGGTTGGCATTTGAGGTAAGAAAAGCAATAAATATCTTCATAGAAAAGTGAGAGATTGAGGATCCACAGATATGAGCTGGAGCCTGGGGTGATTTTTGTGGAGAGGAGCTATACATGTCAGGATCAGTATTTTAGCATTTTTCCTAAGTGGTGAGAGCAAGAACCTGATAAAAGCAGGATTTTATCTGTCAGAATGGGCAGAATAAATTAGAAAGATAAGAATCATGGGCCTGCCTTCCAGCTAGGATGCTGTTGGAGCAACAGAGTAACAGAAGCTGAGACAGAAGCCACAGTATTGGACATGGACAAAAATAAATTAATTTTGGGCTTGTGATAGTGGAAAATATTACTATGACTTGATGGCAAACAATAGAAGGAATGATAGAAATGGATGAAAGTTGGATGCATGATTCTCTTTTTCTATGTAAATACAATTCCCCATTTATTTTTTAATTATAAAACATTTATTGATACATTTATTGATAATTATAACATGCATCTTAATGAATTTGCAGGAGGATTGCTATGAGTTTGAGGCCAGCCTGTGCTACATAGTGAGTTCAAGGCCAGCCTGAGCTACATAGCAAGACCCTGTCTCAAAAAATAAATAAATAAAAAAGAAAAAGCAAGAACGTACCATTCTTTAACTCCATTATGTTCAGCTTGAGAATAATTCCTTTGCTAAAAGTTCTGAGGCTTGAAAGGAGAGTTAATTTTGGAAAACTTAGTACATTTTGTAGTTGAAGCCATGGCAGGGTGGCCAAGTGGAAAAATCTAAGTATATATTTGAAGTGTAGAAATAGCTTGCTTAGGATGGCACATAGAAATTTGGACATTTCCTCAAAGTGATTTGCTGAGTCATGGAAAAAGCTCAAGTCTCTAAAATATATAATATATTTTAAAAATTGGACAATATATTTTAAAATTAATTTCTTTTTTCTCTGCCCTCTCACATTTGCATGCTCATTAAGCATTTCTTTTCATCTCATTTCATTTTAATCTAAAGAATTTGACTTAAATATAATTGACCCTTTTTCCTTACTTGCACTGAAAATGACACCATGTAAATTAAAATATGACCATTTTTAATATTATTTACCATACTATGGTTCTAAAGGAAGAACTATTTATTCTATGGATTTTATCAAAGAATTTATACCGTAAGTCAGCCAAGCAAATCCAGCCCACAACCCATTTTGTTAATTAAAGTTTTAATGAAACACAACCATGTCTGTTTCTTTGTGTCCTATGGCTTCTTTCAAAATGTAAAGTGAAGTTAAGTACTTCCCCAAACCAAAACTGTTTATCATATAGCCTTTCACAGAAAAGGCTTACTGATCCTTGTTCTAAATGCAGAAGCATGTAATTAAGTATCAAAGATATAGTCACAGTGTCTAGTAGTATTGCTCATTACCTAAGAGAATATGAAAAGCCCTGGAGATTAGCTAGTCCTGGGGAATGTTTCCAAATTCAGTTCAGCAATGAAGGGACTGTTTTACAGATATGAGAGGAGTGGACTTTAAAGACTGTGATGATAATGAAATATCTGGCATTCTTGTCGGGAGGATGATTTGGAATAAAATGTTGATTACTTGAATTTTAGTATTAAATATAAGAAAATTCAAGTTAAAATCTGAAAATACATGGGATATGAAAAGCAAGAGAAAAAAATATTCCAGATCCTCAGAATTTCCCTGTCTTAAAGATGATAATTCATATCTAATAACTGGATATCAAGTGTTCATTACTTAGTGTGGCTAGAAAAGAGTGTGTTTCGTATTCACTACTCAACACAACACATACAAAGTTATTGTCTGTTTTTCTCAAAATACATGAACCTTCCATATTAGTAGAAATGTAGAAAAACAACCACTCAATTCTCTTTTATCACCTTACTAGCCAAGCATCCTTGGTCTTTTATCTAGTTACTTGTACTTACTTTTAGTCACCTATTAATGAAGTGGCTACTACAGACAGACTTTCATTTTTGCTTCAGTACTTTCAACAACATAAGTATTCGCCTTCTGTATGACATGTTTTGAAGAATTTAGAGAGCATTCCCAGAGCATCTTTAATAAATAATCAATTGCAGTTGCTTAGAATCCCAAGACTGACACTCACTGTAAAGAAAATGTGTGAGAATCATCCTTACCTAGAAGTGAGTTAGAATAACACAGAAGTCAGACTATAGGCAGATTCTCCAGCTAAGCCCATGCAGTCTTGTCCAAGTCCTCATGCTATATATGTAAGACT